TGGGGGTATGAACATCTTCTTCGTCGACTTGCAACCTGCGCTAACCCCGCTCACTAAAGAAGTAATCAAAGCTCAATCTAACTGTAATCCACCCACTTTCTCCACCCCATAAAACCCATAATCTTGTAAAATATCTATTACACGAGGTGGTCTATTAGCAACAAGAGTCCTCGTATATAAACTAGAACAAGTCCTAAAACACTTTAAGGTCACTTTGGCATATTCTTCGTTAGCCCATACCGCATCACACCCATGGTTGTCAAGTCGTCGCCTAAGCCACGACTAGTCGCCGACTAGTCGTCTGGGCGGTTTTGCCTCTTCGCTTTGCTCTTCGACTAGCGCCTAGGGAAGCCTAGACGACAAAGCGTGCAAAGTGACGCTTAGTCGCGCTTAGGCGACGCCTAGTCGGTGAAAGAAGCTGCCCAATTTGACCTAACTCAATCGAACCGGCCCGGTCCGACCCGGCCCGACCCAAATTTCATTAATTTTTAAAATTTTCTATAAAACCTGGCCTCCTTCGATGCAATCCATCATCGACAGTCAATCGCGACACTCCTCCATCAGCGACTTCATCCACTTCCAGCACTTCAGTGAATTCCAGCGACTCGTCCAGGCGGCTCCATCAGCGACTCTCCTCCATGGGTAAATTTTCTGAATGTTTACTTTGTTATCACTAAAGTGTACTCTTTATTTGATTTAATTTTCATTGATTTGGTTCATTAAACTATAAAGTACTCCGATATTATACTTTAAAATCTTCAGTTTTCTTAATATTTCAATTTTTTTTTCTGATTTCAGTTAATATTTTGATTTTTTTTCTTATTCTAGTATTTTAGTATTTCAGTTTTTTATTTTCAATTTAATATTTCAATTTTTTTTATTTCAGTTAATATTTTGATTTTTTTCTTATTCTAGTATTTTATTATTTGAGTTTTTTATTTTCAGTTTAATATTTTAGTTTTTTTCTGATTTCAGTAAATATTCTGATTTTTTTCTTATTTTAGTATTTCAGTTTTTTATTTTCAGTTTAATATTTCAGTTTTTTTCTGATTTCAGTTAATGTTTTGGTTTTGTATTACATATGTTGGTCGTTTGTTCTATGTCTTACATACTCCTTAATTTGGTGAAGTTACAAGCAGCCAAACAGGAATAGGCAGCATCGTTCGCCTTACCCTTTCCAATACACTTGCCACTGCCGGCAGGAGAGGGATTATACCTCGCTTGGGTTCCACTGACCTCCATTCCCGAACCTCACTCTCATTCACATTTTTCTCTGCTCACAATTTTGCATCCATCAAGCATTCATCGTCTATGGACGCTCCTCTCACTGTTAAAGCTTCTTCTTCTGCTATTGGTACCATCCACGTTCATATCTCGCTAAAGCTCGGAAATGACTTTTTTTTGGGGGTTTTGATGTTTTTTTGGATTGGGCTTCTTTTTAGATTGTGACGATGGAATTATCGGGGAAAAAGATTTGCTAATTGTTGGACCAGGTGTGCTGGGTCGTTTAGTGGCTGAAAAATGGCGAGAGGTATGATTTCTACCCTTTCGATTGTGCATTGTAAGCATGATGGAAAAATAACGCCTGATTGTAAAATCTAAAACTCTGAACTGATGCATTTTGGTTTTACATTGTCCATAAATTTTCTTGTTTATTTGTATAATGATATTGAAATGGTAGTGAAGATATAGGGGGTGATAATGTAGACAGTGCTTTGGAAGGGTGCAAAATGTGTTGGGATCGCGTGTGCCCTCACCCCAACCCCGCATTAGTATGATATTGTCCGCTTTGGGCCATGCCCTCACGGATTTGTTCTGGGGAACAGGGCACCTCCCAAAAGGCCTCATACGGATGGTTTAAGGTAACCATATAATTGTTGGTTCTCTTTCTTTTAATCATCCGGTGTGGGATTGGTTTGTATCCCAACAAAATGCTGATCAATATTAACTTTGATTGCAATTGATCAACATCAATAAGAAACCTAGTGTAAGAAACCTAGGGTGAAGATGTACACAACCATACCACTGTAAAAATAGAAAGACTTTTTTCATTAGACCCTTGATGCATTGTTGCATTAATTTAACATTCATAGAAAGTAAGAAGCAAGGAAAATAGTTATTCTACAATTATTAACACGAATGACAATACAGATGATGTCGCAAGTGTCTCACAGACAATCATTGTTAGTAATGTGTTCCAATCATTGTCCGTGGTGTGTCATTTTGATCACAAGTAATTGATGAGGGAATAATCGGGCATCAATTTCTTCAAATGTTAAATTCAACGGATTTGTTTTATATTTGTGCATGAATGCCTCTGTAAGATTGATTGATATGTAGGATCCGTGGATATGCATTTAAGGGTAGCATAGTGTGCCAGATTTCAGAAAAACTGTTTTGTATCACAATCTTGTTTGATGGTACAGGTTTATGGAAGGAAATTAATAGTTATGCATTCCTTATGAGGTTTAAACGTGGTTTGGATGATATATCTATAACCTCTTCAGCTTTTGACATGTTGCAGGAACACCCTGGTTGTCAAATTTTTGGACAAACCATGACCCCTGATCATCATGATGAACTGATCAAGATGGGAATTAAACCATCTTTGAAAGAAACCAAGCTTTGTAAGAAGTTCCCTTACGTTATTTTCTGTGCTCCACCATCACGTACCGCAGACTATCCTGGTGATGTCAGGTAGGAACCAGAATAGTGCTTTTCAAACTAATTTTTTTTTTTGGTTTCTTAATGGGGTGAAGGGTCCATCACCTCCTACTGCTCCTGAGAGCAGTGCCAAAAAAGTTGGACCCACCGACCCAGTGCTGCAACTCTCACAGATGTGGGGTGTTGGGGTACACTTACGTAAGTAAATATATAGATACATCCAACATAATTCTATGCTTTGCCTTTTTTTTAAAAATTTAATATCATGGCTTGTGTATGTAAATAGAATGCATGTACACTATCTGTGATTTGCAGACTTTGGCCTTCTTAATCTGTATGAGAAAAACTTACAGGGAGGCTGCTTTGAAGTGGAATACTGAAGGTTCTTTCGTGTTCACCTCAAGTTCCGCACCATATGATTGCCATGACAATGGGCCATGTGATGAGGTCTTATGTGTATCATAACAGATAGCCGTGCTGCTACACTGTTTGTTTAACCTTAAACTTCATTACAGTTTTTACTTTCTATGGATTTCGAGATGCAGACCATAATGAAATACTATAATGCAGGATATTCCAGTCACAAAACATTCTCTACTCTTGTTTATATTCTTTTAAATGCCATTCTCTTCACATTTCTTTTTCTTAGTCCACTGGATGTTTTTTAGGATACCCCAGTTGTGCCGATAGGGACAAGCCCTAGGACTGATGTTCTTCTTAAGGCAGAAAAAGCTGCACTGGAATATGGTGGCTGCGTTCTTAGATTGGCTGGACTTTACATATCCTTAATTGTGAATTCTTACTGCTTTTACATCTTTACACAACTTGCATATTCTTCTAGGGTGGGGTTCCCATGACATTGGAACCCAATGTCATGGGAACCTTGGTGATTCTTCTAATGATTTGTCTTTTCACAAAATTTGCCTTAACTGTTTATACAAAGCCGATAGAGGCGCTCATACCTACTGGCTAAGTAAAGGAACCTCAGATTTTCGTGGCGATCATATCGTCAATCTTATACATTATGAGGTGAATGTGAATCATTTTAGTTTAACATCCATGCTTTCTAAAGACATTTGTGTTGTTGATACTATTTCCTATAACAATGTGTTTGATTAATCGGGATGGTACAAAGAGAGTGGTAGTGGAGTGGCACATTCATGTGTTCTCTGCTTGGCTAGCTAAAACAAAGAGGATGTGTGGATGCTTTCCAAACCCTTACATTCCCATCAAATGTCATTTCCCCCAATTCAGCATCAAATGGAGGGAGAAAAAAGTTTACTATTTATACAAAGACAACGATTTAATTTTAAATTAATTTACCATAAGGACATAAGTGTCATAATTGACATATATTTTATCACATTCCCTCCATTTCCTTCGTAATTGAAACAAGAGAATTTACAATGTTTTCTTACAATGCACTCGCTTTATAAACTTATTCAATACATAAAGGGTTTGATCCATTCCCCTTATCTCCTTTCTACTTCCTCTTCATTCTCCTTTCGATGAAACCAATTCACTGTAAGGGTACATTCTATTCTCCTTTATAAGTGTCTGGAGTGCCATCTTTTGTATAATGTCTTTGTGTGTGCTTATGATAGGATGCAGCATCTCTAGCTGTTGTCATCTTGAAAAAGAAACTCCGTGGTCGGATCTTTTTGGGCTGTGACAACCACCCATTGTCCAGGTTTATCCTGTATTTTTTTCATAATAGAGTTGCATATACAATTGCACTCTTATCACTCTCAATGCTGTTCCTTGTTCATGCTGTAGTGTAGTGAACATCATCTGAGCCTTCTTGATATGCATCTTTTCAGGCAAGAAGTAATGGACCTGGTTAATAAAAGTGGGAAGTATGACCAGAAGTTTCAAGGTTTCACAGGTAAGCACTTGTCAAATGTTGTGTTGGTTTTTGGTAATACTGTAAGACCCCTCCTCGGCATGCCTCTCCATTCATTGTTGCTTTAAGTGGGTTGCTCAGTAGACTTGTTCGTTCTTAAAGAACCTGACCTTCGTATGTTTGTTTATACTCAGTAAATCGGTACTCCTTAGCTAGATAGATGGATGTTTTTGGCTTGTCACGTGACTCATGATTTATATTTATAAATTATTTACTCCTTCCGTCACAAAATAAAAGACATTTTGGGTTACATTGGTTGACTAAATTTATTTTCAATTCAATTTATTTTAAAATTATTCTAGAAATAAACAATAAAACTTATATTTTGGCACGAAGAGAGTATATATTTGTTGTTAAAAAGAACATGAAAGACCTAATCTCAAGTGATGTACCGGAAGCTACGAACAGTGGTATCATACCGGTGTCTTTTCTAGTAAATAAACATTAATAAAAATGTCACATTGGTCATTTGATTTCTTCGTTCAGGAACAAGTGATCCACTGGGAAAGAAATTGGACAACTCAAGAACACGTGCTGAATTAGAATGGGAGCCTAAATATGGTAGCTTTGCTGGATTCCTAGGAGTTTCAGAGTAATCAGATCATTTGTACTCACTGGGGGCTATCTAGTTCCTGATTGGATTGGTTCAAGGGGAGGGAGCAAACTGATTCCCTTTGTCATGGTTATTGTTACTTAAATACTCATATATCGTGGGATAATCAACGATATAATTGTTATTATTATTACTACTCCTACTACTACTACTACTACTACTACTATTATTTATTACTATTACTTAGTCCCCCCTGCCCCCTCCCAACTCCCTTCATATTGCCGATTTGTTATAGTGACCACTGAAGCAAATTGGCGATATGAGGCGGGGAGAGGGGTGGGGGGTTGGAACCATTAATTTTTCGAACGAAGTACCGTAGGAAGCCTATGTCATCCTATGACATTCAAACTGAATGTCACGTGAACCAGGCCATATTAATATTATTCGATGTATTGTTGTGGCAACTTGTAATGTTTATTCATGCTGATTGTTTATTTTATTGTGATGTACAACTTACTTATCTTTGTTTATGTGTGAGTAGGGGTACCTTTGTAATGTGGACTTAAGGTCGTATCCTTGGGCGGTCGAGCAGATAGCTAGGAGGGGTAGGTTAGTGTGTAGTATGCGATTTTGCTTGTCGAAAATTGGAACTCACACGGATAAGTTGATTGACTTGGTCTAAGTTCTCAAGAGGAGGATGATCTAGGTAGCTGGTGTCTAAGAGACTAGATGAGTGGGCACCCAAACATGTGATGTGGATGAGTTCAAGTTATGGTACTTAGGTTTAGTGACCGCTTAATGACTATTAAGTTAGTTCTAGGAGTTTGTGCTATCAACATCGTGAGAATTTATGCCCCAGAAGTGGGCTTGGATGATGAAGTTAATATGGAGTTTTGGGGGACACTAGGTAGAGAAACTCTTCATTGGAGGTAGCTTTAATGGTCACATTGGGGGTTCGATAGAGGGTTTTGGCTTTGAAATTAGAAATCCCGTGAGGGTTTTTCTTTTATAATTTTCTAGAGTGGTGAATTAGTGATCACTAATTCCCTCTTTCCTAAGCGGGAGGACCACTTGGTTAATTTTGAGTGGGGAGAATGCAAATCGATTATTTGCTTCTATGCACATGTGATAGGGTTCTCTGTAACTCCTGTAAAGGTGTTATAATAAAATCTTGAGCAAGAAATGTACGAACCTACTTAAGTTATTGGTGTTGGATATTTTGATTAAGTTGGTGAAGAAGAGACAAACAACAGGTGGCCCATATCGTGTATTTGTTAGAGGAGCTAGGGTGAAGAGAAAATTTCAAAGTTAGTTGTCTGGGTTCAAGAAAAGAGCTTGGGGTGTCCTATGGGGTGGCCCAATGACATGTGGGAGAAGACTTATTGCACCAAGGACGCAAGAAGTACTAGGTGTGAGCAGTAGTACAAGGACCCATCATATAGGTGAATGGTGGTGGAGTGATACGATTCATAGTAAGGTGGAAGTTAAGATGGTATGGTGGCTTTACGAGTAGAGTATAAAGTTGCATTTGCCCCTAAGGAAACAAAGTTAGTGGAAACGAGAGCAAAGTTTGCAGCCTTTGCACGCTTTTATAAGTATTTGGAGTGGGGCAAGGATAAGAGACTTTTTAGTTTGCTAAGACGCAGGAGAGGGAGGCATAAGATGTGAATCATGTGAGGTGTGTGAAAGACAATGTTGGCAAGGTTTTACTTCAAGAGGTAAAAGTTTCTAGCTAGTAGGGGGAATACTTCAATGGCCTACTAAATGTGGGGGGAAGAGATCGGTTGCTAAATCTTGGTGAGCTGGGACGGACCGATAAGTATAGACACTTTAGATATTGTTGGCCTGTTAGCCAACAAAAGGTGGAGTTTTAAAAGTTTGTGGGCAGTAGTGGATTAGCTTGGGCTACTAAGCTCTTCAATGTTATCTTTTGGGCCGCTAAAATGCCTGATAAATGGAGGTAGAGTGTAGCTATCCCAATGTACAAGGGCACATGTGATATCCAAAGTTGTGATAATTTTAAGGGAACCAAACTTTTTAGTCATACCATTAAGGTCCGGGAGCATATTTTAGAGGCTAGGTTGCAGGAAGAAGGTGCATATTTTTGAGAACCAATTTGTCTGCTTCATGCATGCCTATGCGTGGCCGATCAACAACGGATGCTATTCGCCTCTTGCGGATGTTGATGAACGAGTAACTATAGCTAAGATGAACCTTTACATGGTGTTTATTGATCTCGAGAAGGCGTATGGAAAAGTATCAAGAGAAATCTTGTGGAGATTCATGTCTTGAGTTTAAAGGACTTCTGACTGCATTCATTTAGAGATATGTACCTTATGATTTTGGAGTTGGCATAATATTGCAGCAATTTTTTATCATAAGGTCGATCTTTGATATTTCTATTATTTTTCAGATTAAGATTCTCGTCTACAAAGTTTTATATTCCGTATATGTTATGTCGTGATTGCATGGTTAATTTTTTTAATCTTCATTTCTATTGCCTTTGTAGTGTTCGTGAATGTCCGTCCTGTTGATATTATGGTATATATCTTTCACTTGAATTATTTCTTTTGTTACTTTTTACACACTTGTGTTAATGTGTCGAGTAATATAATGACGCACCAAGATATTCAAATCATATTTAACTCATAATGTCGGTACTTTTGTTATAAAGTTCACCTATATTATTTTTGGTTGGGAATGACCGATCAACCTCAAATTCTAAAATATCATGCCAGAGAACACAATCATTTAGCAGTCCCGTAGGGATTATAGGTTGAGCCGGTCACGGGTCATTGTATTTGTATAGATAATTTCTAGATCAGTAGATGAATCCTTCGATAAAAAGTGTTATTTATTTGAACTTATTTCGTTACTTTGTTTGCATCTCACGTACTATTTTGTTGAAATACTCCGTAGTTTGGTATTCATTTTGATGATTTCTGTACGTTTATGATTGGTTTTATGAACATCTATAAGTACTTGGTAGTATGAATTTGTGTGGAGTTTATGATGGGCTTGTGTTTAACAAATAGGGCACGTGTAAAATAAAATCATCTTATCATCGTCCCCGCCCCTAAATGAATTATATTGTTCCTATTAAATCATCTCGATAATTTTTATTTGTTTGCAACATTCTCTTGACCTTCCTAATTTCCTGAACCAAACAAAGTCTACAAGTATGTTAAGATGATGGGGGAAAAAATTCTCCAGTTCGTTGCCCAACATGTATATAACACGAGAAGAAAAAAGAAGATATGGCTACAAATACCATGATGGATGTTTATCCAGAAATGAGCTTTACAGCAATGCAAAGAATGTTGAGGAGCATTAGTGGAACTCTCAAGTACTGAGTTGCATAAATAAGACCAAGAATCTGGCCCTTCAATGAATTCCTCTTGATTCCTGAGTATTCCTGGAAGCTCCACCCTCTACGAGCAAGAAAGCGGTCTTCGTTTAGTATGGCCAATGCATTGGCAAGAAGCAGACATCCCTCCAGCAGTGTCCACAAACCCATTTCCTGCTTAATTTCAAAATTCACAACTAATAAATCTAAATTTATGTTTTTAAAATAAATATGCTGTATATCTTGTTATACCAAGATTAAGGTTCAGTTTGGTGGCTAAATAGTCTTTATCTCCATACCAGCAGAAGAAGTAGCTTCTGACTTATATGGATGAAACAGAGGTTAACGAACACCTTAACTTACTGACAATTAAGCAGATTCACACATTCACCCAAACAAAGCTTACAAAACGGGATCCAAAAGATGTTGGTAAAACTCTGCATAGCAGTGGGAGTTTCACAAAATCAACAAGATGAGCAGCACGGTCAGCACCACAACAAATGGCTTCATTTGTTCTAACACAATAGGGTATTATACTCTTATCAATAAAGCAAGTTTCTAAAACAGAAATATTGCAATCATAGTTCAGCAATTTGAAGAAGAGGGGTTAGAATTTGTGAGTTAGGAGGTGCGAGGGTTTAGAAAACACAGGACTTATGCGAGGTAGAGGTAGGCCGAAGAGCTGTGGGGAGGTGATTAGGCAGGATATGGCTAAACTCAAGCTGACAGAGGGAATTAGCTAGGAAGTTTTGGCAATCATGGATCAGGATAGATGGGTAAGTGATTGTGTAGTGTTTGAGGTTGTGATTCAAGAGGTGGGACTTAGCCTTTCAATCTCATTCTCGCATACAGGATAGTGTGTAAATGTTTATTCTTTTGGTACTAGTTTGTGCTTTCTCTTTTTTGGAGTACTAACATGTGCAGCTTTTGTTAATTTATTTAATTTTATATTTTTGAGGAATTTTCCCTAAAAAAAAACTTTTTGAGGGAATTTGATTATTTTTCTTGCCAATATAGTTTGATTTTACCCCCTTGAGCCAAGGGTCTTCTGCAAACAACCTCTGCATACCTCACTCACAAATATATTAACTTATTTCTAATATGAAACACATTACATGTAGCCAAATTTTTCATTTTTGAAACTATGCTGTTTCATTGTTTCAGAGGTTCTTAATAAATGCCACATAAAGTATTGATAGCCATCCTATAATCTTGACTATATTAACTAAATCCTCGCACTTATTCATGGTCTAATATTCACGGTTTATATGGTGTATTTTCAAATTCTAATCCTTCCTGGTCTAAAAAAGTAAACAAAAACAAAATCAAATATTTTGGAATTCAATTCATTAACAAGAGAAAGAACAAGAAAGCTAGATCTTGTTGTATATCACATCAGAAATTATGAAAAACCTCGGATCTGCTCAAGTAGGAGAAATGGAAAGCTGCCTCAGGAGGAAAGAGAAAGGGGCATGTGAGAAAATGCAGTGTTGCCTTCATGAACAATTGAATTCATTTTACATACACTCCAAAGTCCAAACACAATAATGCAATGGAATCAAAACATTATAAATCCATTAGAAATCCATCCCCAATTCGTATAATTTTAATTCCCTTTGGAATTCAATTCAGGCTCCGTTTGATACACGGAATTCAAGTCATGGAATTGGAATTGGAGACTTCAATTCCAATTTTGGTGTTTGGTAGCACAAAAATATGTGGATTTGGAATTGGTAGTGCAAAAAAATGAATTGAAATTGAAGAATTCAATTCCATTTAATTCAATTCTATAGAATTCCAATTTCAATTCAATTCTCCTTCTGTCAATTCCGTGCACAAACGGATCCTCAATTCTCTCTGACTTTCACTGTATCTATCCAAACGGCCGGTTAAAACGGAAATGATTGATTTATAGTTCTACATTGATACACATCTGAAACTGAAAATGAAATGAACGATCCATGAATCTAAACTAAAACAGAAACACATCTAAATGTAAACAGAGATCCAAGCACATCGATTTTGAGGCCCTAAAAGCTGAAAGCATATGATTCCTTACTCCAAAAATAAAAAGGAGATTGAGAAGTCGAGAAGAGACTGTATACCTGCTACTCGAAAACAAGAGAAATAGTTCTGCTATTGAGAGAAGATAGAACCGATCGGCGAAAGACAGAAACTGAGAAAAGAGAAGAAAGGGACAGTAGAAATGGCAATTCGGGTTCCGATCAGTATCATTCATTAACTGAATGAAATACTCCCTCCCTCCATCCCTAAATATATTACAATCTTTTTTTCTCTCTTTTTTTGATAACTTTTGTTTGTTTATGCGATTTCATTAAATATTTGATAAAATAAAATATTCTTGTCACCTCTTTTTTTAATATGTAATTTTTATATCTTATTGATATACCAATTTGTAAATAAAATAATTTCAAAAAGTAGAAAATTTTACTCCGTAACCCGCAATTTGTAATCAAATTGAGGACGGAGGGAGTACATATTTAGTACTCCATCCGTCCCAAAAAATTTTTCCCATTTTGACTAAAGTGATAAAATAAGGAAAGATATTTTGGGGTTGACTTTCCAAAAATACCCTTGATGTGATGGGTAAAAGTAGAATGTGATGAGTAGATTATTGGCCAAATAGCGCCAGTACCCCCGTGGTTTGCAAAATAGGCATCAAAACCCCCTCTGTTTTCAAAACTTATTTCAAAAGTCGCTGTGGTTTCAAAATGCTGCACCCGTGCCCCCTCCGTTCATTTTCCGGCCATTTTTCCGGCAAAGAAGGGGGGCATTGCTGCATATTTACTAAACCACAGGGGGTATCGGTGCTGATATTTATTTCTCGCTTATTTTTTTGTTTTTTTCATTTCTTCCTTTATTTGTTACTTTTATTAATAAAGGTTTTTTTAAAATTATTTTTATAATGCTCATAAAATTTAAAGTTATTTTTGTTTGAAAAAATTAACATATAATGTATATGTACTTCTCAAATCAACAATATTTGTTTTTTCTGAAAAAAGTAAACTTTTTTTGGAGAATTTCAAAAAAAAAATGACGAATAAAATAAGAAACAAAATAATAGAAAAATAAAAATGAATATCTTCTTCGAACATCTCAATTCTAAGGACTTTTTTAGGCTTATCCATTTTTTGTATCAGACTTTTTTTGTGTATTTTTTATTTTTCATTTTATTTTTCCATATTTTTATTTTTTTATTCTAGGTTTATTCTTTTTGAATTTTCCAAATAAGTACGTAAGAAAAAGTTAAAATGTTTAATTTCAAATAGATGCAATGTATGTTAATTTTTTTTATTTTTATTTCAAAAACAAAAAATTTTAAAATTTTAAAACATTATAAAAAATTGAAAATAAATTAGAAAAAAAACTAGGAAAATAAAAAAGAGATAGAAAATATTTAAAAAAAAGAAAAATACAAATAATAAACAAAAAATAAAAAATGACCACGAATACCCCCTATGGTTTAAAAATTATGCGCAAATGCCCCCTCTTCGCCGGAAAATGGCCGGAAAATGATCAGAGAGGCATGGGTGCAGCATTTTGAAACCACGGGGACTTTAGAAAGAAGTTTTGAAAAATAGAGGGGGTATTGGTGCCAATTTTCCAAACCACAGGGGGCATCGGAGCTATTTGGCCGTAGATTATTAAAAAAAGGTATGATGTGATAGGTAGGGTATGAAAAAATAAGGGGTAAAAGTGATTTTTTAATAGAAATGAGACGGATTTTAAGAGACACAATTTCTTCGAAAACGGGACATGCTTTTTGGGACGGAGGGAGTACATATTTTTTAGGTGTAAATTTCAGAATTAGATTTGGAAAGAAATTTGAATAAATAGTGTTTTGAATAAAGTGTTAAAAAATTGCTCAATTATATGATCATCCAAATAAATATGTAAGAAAACTCTAATTGTGAATAAAAAATATTTATCATTAAACGTTTTTTAAATGATATGTTATAAACTTAGATATATAATATCATTTTATATTAATTATATATAAATATCTTTTTGAGTCATTGTTAGATGAAATTGGAAGAAGTTGGAAGAAATTGGAAAGAGCAAGAAGAAACTTGAAGAAATTGGAAGTTAAATTTTCTAACCCAAAAGAATATAGCCTTAGTCATCTATTATCAAATACTACTTCCGTAATCCTTCTTTTATGAGTAAATTTTCCCTATTTAGGATGATATACGCAGAAGCGAAAAAATAAGAACACACAATATTTTTAACGTAGTTCGTTTTCTCAATTAACCTACATCGACAACAACTCTCTATTATATTTAGAATACAAGAACAATTTTGAACTGGCAAATTGTAAAAACCTCTCACAAAGTGTTTAGAACTCTCAACTAACTCTAAAAACACACAAATAATTTTGGAGCACTCTCTCAACAAAACTACTCACACTAAAAATGATACGGAGCTCAATCTCAACACATCAATTTTATCTTTTCTCAAGCTTAAATAACTAATAAGCTTCTCACCATACTCAATTCAACCAAGAATATAACCCTATTTCAATCAAGTTTTCAACTTAAAGATAAGATTAAACTCAAGTTGAGTTTGTATTTTGTTTCCCTACCCCATCCTTTTTTTACTTAATGATGAAGTATTTGTAGAGATAATATCATATGGGCCCTTTATTTGGGCATCAATTTTGCTATCTATTGCCCCAAGGTTGATGATGTTCCGAGAACTGTACTCAATTTTTGAGTGTCCCACAGAGTTCTAGCCAAAACATCAATGGTTTCTCATATTCTCTCACGGCTGAAAGGCACACACTTGGAAGATCTCCTTTTGTAGCCAAAAAGTGCTGCCATAGTTTCTTTCAAAGCTCCACTGCCAATGTCCTTGTCAAGTTGAAATTATCAACTTTGTTCTTTTGACAACAATTCATGATGATAATAAACATTAGGACAAAATTTTTTAGTCATGAATTCATGACTAAATTTCTTTCCCAACAATCCATTTGCAATGTAGTATAATACCCCATATAACATCACCCTGCTTCCCATCTCAAGTATACAAAATCACCAAGTACACTCAAAAGATTGAAATTCAAAAGTAAATATCTTTTGGTTCAGAGGTAATTAAACATGTAGACCCGGGCATGTCCACCAAAGAAGCTACTATAAGCAAACTTCATGTAATATACAGTTTAATGACATACCATGGAGTGATCTGGGGCTTTCATCGGATGATGCCAATCGAGGTTGCTGGGCCAGCAACAACCCTATTTATCTATTTTGGGATAATAGGCCAACAAAATAAAGAATCAAAGATGTAAACGTTGAAAAGAAAATAAAAAAAATTGGGAATAACTTTTCTAAAAAATTCGTGTGTGCATGCTGATACTCTACTATAGTACAGCTCCCATGATAGGAACTTCAGGAATAAACATGTGACTTTTGATAACTAGAACTTAAACACCTTTAGCTAAAAATTTTGTATCTTGATCTCGATACAAAACTTAAAGAAAAAAAATCGATACACTTAATTGTATAATACGGAGTAAAAATAATGTCGTACAGACTATGAAATTCTTATGTGTATTCCCAACAAATTAAACCTTGGGAAGGTAATTAAAACATGTTAAGTATCTTTTAAGTTTGCCTTACTTTCAGTTTCTCTAAAATGCTTGAAATTGAAAAAAGTCCCCTAGCAACAAAGAAACTCGTTTGTTTACAATACAAAGATCAATTTGCCTGAGTTATACTATATCAATGCATAACTTCTTATAGAGGCACCACCAAGAAACAAAACCATTGTTCACTTCTGCCTAAATAGTGATTCCATGTATGTTCTCCTACACTGGATCAAACCGATTTGCTCTTTATTTTGGTTTAGGCATACTCAATGTGAAGTTTATTGTGAACAATAAAACTCTTGAAACCAAGCAAACAAGTGCACCAGAAATTTTTACTCCCCGTTTATACAGCCAGGCATAGAACCTCAAACTTAATCACCTAAAAACATATGCAATTGACATACTGTTCGCTTTGTAATGTCACGTAACTATGAGACACGCAATACATAAAACAATAACAATGCCCCCACTTTTTAATGCGAAAAGTAATCAAATACCTCTGTAATGAGTTCGAAGATTTGGCACAGAACGAGTGCACGACCAGTTATCAAACTATGGCCACATTACCTAACCCCAAATAACACCCTCTGGCACATATCAGATTCTAAAACAGAATCAAAAGAATGTCTTTTGAGCATCCCCTATGCAAAGCCCGCTTCTGAATGGATAACAATATTAATTAAAATGGAACGGGAATGATTTGACTGTCAAACACAGAGAATAAGGAGAAGGAATGATGAATGAATAATATACGGAATGGGGGGAAGGGGGGCAGTCTGCATATACTGTGCAGCCAAACCGTAAGCATTAGTAGGAAATGAAATCACGGTAATACTGAAATGTTGCGTTGGAGGTGATGTCATTTGTCTTAAGTGTGCAGCCAATCCTTAAGCATTAGGAGGTGATGTAATTTGTCTGCCTTGCTGATCCATGAAATTGGGTTGTGATGCCCGATACGTTGCTTGATTCTGCCATGAATGGTGGTTCGGCGGCATTTGATGAGCTGAAGGTGACTGTCCAGGCATCTGAGAGGGCCTAGGCCGCGGATTCACATAATATCCAGGGTTCTTGCTAAACAGTGACTCAATTTCGCCTCGCCTACCTTGGTTCCCAAACTCCTCCAACAGATACATTCTGAATGCAGGGGTGACCCCAACTCCATAGTTCACCATCTCACTAAGCAAGCTAAAACCAGCATCGTGATTCATATCCTTGCAGAGAGCCCTAACCACAATGTCATAAGTCATAACATCTGGCCTTGGTTCTCTCTCACCCATCTTAGTCAGGATGGGGACACACTCCATGGCCTTACCTTTGTTGATCAAGAATTCAAACCACTTGTTAGCGTAAATAGGTATGACCCTCAACCCTGCCTCCACCATTTTTGTGTACTTCTCTAGCACACCCTCTACATTCTCCACCTTAAGATAAGCATTGATCATTGTTCTATAAGTCATTACGTCCGGATTCAAAGACTTACCACACAACTCCATATAATACTTTTCAGCATCTTCCATCATCTCAATCTCGCATAGCCTTGTGATCATATTATTAAAACCCGCAACATCCATTGAAAAAGGTCTTGACTTTTCACTCTTTCCAGCCTTCTTGAAAGTCTCCAGGGCCTCCGAAACCTTCCCTGATTTAAAACACTCATTAACCATGATGTTAAAAGTGTCAGAATTCACGGCCTGGAAGACAGGGGGAGTGTGATCATCCAACATAGCATCAAACATATCCCATGCCTCCTTTTGCTTCCCATGCTTTAACAAGACCTCGAGCAGTGCGTTACTGGTCACAGGTACCATTCGGAACTTTCTGTCCAAGAGGTCCTTGTAAGAATCCATGGCTTCCCTATCTCTTCCCTGTTTGAAAAACCAATCCATGAAGGTTGCATTCACGGTTCCATCGTAAACCGAGCACCTTCCTTTAAGCTCATCAAAAAGCTCATTTGCTTTCTCTAGATTCCCCAACTCTAGAAATCCTAAAATCAAATTATTGAAAACTAAAGAGTCGGCACCGTGACCCTTATTGAGCATCTCCCTCAGAAAATCAACAGCTTCATTTATCCGCCCAGAGTCTATTAGTCCCTTAGTGAGATGGCGATATGTGACATACGAAGGGCTAAAAGGGGCATTTTCAATGATGTAGTGGTAAACTTTAATGCCTTCATCAACTTCCCCAGATTCGCAATGGGCAACGATTAGGTTGTTGTAGGATACTACGTTAGGGATAATGTTAGACTGGTTGAAGAAGTACTGAAATAGGGACTTGGTATCATTATACCTGCCTGCCCGGTACATGGCAGCTATGATGGCATTGCAAGTGAAGACAGTTGGGCGGGTGTTTGAAAACACCGAATGACGAGCAACAGCGGCGGCAGAGTCGAGATCTCCGGCTCTTATCAGAGACTGCACGCGGTTGTGAAGGTTGAGCCTAGGCCCAACCAGAGCAGACGTGGAGTCAGGGAAGCGAGATCGGGGATCGTCGGAGGGAGGAGGTCTGGGAACTGTGTCGCGACGAAGTGCACCAAGCGGTGGCTCGATACGGAGCCGACGCTTTCTGCGACGGCGCTCAGCCGCGGCCTCCTCCGCGGAGGAGAAGGCAAAGGATCTGTGTGGGAGGAGGAGAAAGATCGGATTTTGCTGGGGATTGGCGGAAATGAACCGAGTTCTGGCGGCGGCGGCAACACCAGTGGTGGAGGTGCGACGGAGTAGGAATCGATACAGAGACATGCTTTAAGGGCTTCAATTGTGCAGAGACGGATGAAATATCATGTAAAAAGAGTAGATGAATCAGAAAAGTTACAGAGAAGCATGAGTCTTAAACCCTTTCCAAAATCCAAAGTAGGTTTTGAAAGGGCGAAATGTCTTCCGTAAAAAAGTCAAGGATCACAAGTGTGGAATGGCATGCCTTGGTAAGTCATTGTTTTCATCACTTTTTTTATATTTTTTGCATATTTAAATTATTAAAAATTATATTACCTATATATTTTTATCATGAAAATATTTCTATTTACTCAAATAAATAATTTTTTTATGTATTTTAATTATTAAAAATGTTTTTGTTACCTACACCATATTTTTATTTTAATCATGAAAATATTTCTATTTACTCAAATAAATAATTTTTTTATGTATTTTAATTATTAAATTTTTTTGTTACCTACTCCATATATTTTTAATGTGTTTTAATCATTAAAAATTATCTTTTATTTATTTTATAAATAAAAGATGGAATGCCACACTCCTACCTCTCCATGCATGGTGAAATTGGACAGCCACGCGTGTCAAATTCATTTTCCATCTCCTTTGCGCTGATGTGGCGTGGCAAGGCATCCCATACACTCGCCATTGCATTTGCTCTTAAACCTTTTCCAAAAACGAGCTATAATATTAGTAAATTTTTTCAATTCATTTCATTTAAATATTGATATAGAAATAAAAAATAAAATTTACATCTTTAAAAACTAATTAAATTTTTTTTCAAAATAATAGGTGTCAAGAATATTTTATGTTATTAAAAAATTAATAAAAACGTATAAATGGACAAAAATTCTCGTGATGGTAAAAAAAAATGTGACAAACATTTTGGAACCGATGGAGCATTATACTTTGACTATACTTTGACTATTACTACCTCTGTCCCTGAGTATTTTTCCAATTTTAACTTTTTCAGTTAACCATTTTCAACATTTGACCTATAATTAAATTATATATATATATATATGTATGTATGTATGTATGTATGTATGTATGTATGTATGTATGTATGTATGTATGTATGTATGTATCTATGTATCTATGTATCTATGTATATATATTGTATATTAATTACATAAATTAATATTTTGAAAAACTTTTATATAATAAATCTAAGAAAACTATTTCTATTTCAATATCTAATAGCATTTTTATTTAATTTGGGATCAAAATTTACCAATTTTGACTAAAAAAACTCAAAAGCAGACAAATACTCAGGGACGGAAGAAGTATTATATAAATGGTCTTCAATTTTTAAAAATTATTCCATAAATAGTCCTTTAGATGAAATATGACAATATTTTTTTTCCACAAATAGTCTCTAAAGGGCCGATTGTTGAATAATTTTCAAAAATTGACGACTATTTATATAATATGTTAGAAATAAAGACCAAGTATAGAAAACCCTCTATAATTATAGACTATTTATAGATTCTATTAATTAAATGCATATCACAATTTAATTTGTTTTAATTTGTGATCGAAATTTAAAAACATAGATCACAAAAAACAAAATGAGAAAAAAATAATGATTTGTCAGGTGAATTATAACCTAGACACATACGGTTCTTCATTACNCCCCCCCCCCCCCCCCTTAAAACTGATGGTTTCTAGTTCGTAGGCAAGGATTTTGTTAAAAAAATTCTACTCCGTACTATTTATTTAAAATTTTACTTCGTATTTAATTTTTGGTCAAAATTAGCATAAACGCCAATTTTGGACAAAGAATTCAGAACAAAAGGAGTAAAGAAGAGATATGACTCTTCTATTTTATCAAATAATTAATGAAAATATATGATAGAAAAATACAAAAATACAGGACTAAAAAGCATGCTCCATATTTTTATCATAAGAATATGCATTGATAAAAAAGAAAACAAAAAATTTCATCGTATTTGTGCTTGTTTGTTTTTGGTAATGAATATGTGGTTTCCAACAATTCTCCATACTCAATGAACATACATTTACTCTGAAGGTGAACATTCATTGGAGTTAGGATCAACAAATCCCTTATGACAATATTTTGCCCGTTGGAATTGTTGATTAAATGCGAGCCTTTTTTAGAATATATCAGCACGGGTCGCATTCTACTCTTTAGCACAATGTACGATTAATCAAAGTGATCAAACCCCGTTTGAGATGAACCTGAGACATACACAAACAAAACATATAGCACACACAACAGCCCACTTGTTTGAAACACTTCAATTCCTTAGAAATGATTTAAGAGCAGTTTAATATACATATATCAACTGCATCGTCTCAAACAAAACAAGTATGAAAACCAATTGTTCTCAACCGCTCTCGACACTTCTTTTGAGCTTCCCGGCTCTACTTGGCTTGGCTCTGACGGTTGTTCTGGTTCTCCCTTCCCCTCAGGCACCGATTTCAACGATGAAGCATTTCCACCATCATTTACAAGTCTGCAAATACGTGAATATGTGTTATTATGCTGGACACTGGCTCGAGTCGGTCGACACTACGATGCCACTTGGTATGAAATTGAAGGGGTTGGGGGTGAGTTCGGGCCGGGGTGGGTTATTTGCCGTGGGGGAGGGCTAAGGGGAGTAAGAACCATACATTTAGGGAAGAGAGCATCGTAGATGCTTCAGATGGAGCAGGTGTCATCTGTTGACACTCAAAATGAGTGTCAATGGAACCTTGCCTGTTATTGTCAAGAATGTAGATGACATTTGAAAGCTAGAAAGAGGACAACAACAACAACAACAACAACAAAAACAATAAACCCCAGTAAAACGCTAGCTAAAGAAAGTAATGTCTGGGGAGTGTGCGTGTACCCAGTCTACCCCTACTAGAGATTATAGAGCCTAAAAAGAATGCAAAGAAAAAAAAGGTAGCTTACAATGGGAAAGCAAAGGAACTGCTTCCGGCTCCACTTTCATCAGAAAGCCGCGGGGCATTCAGACAAGGAGTGGCTCTTCCTCCTCTTTCATCTGATTTGTTAGAGGTGATAGCAAATGAATGAATTTCACAAGATGCGGCGATCCTGCTATTCTCTTGCGTCTTTTGCTTCTGGTCCACTGGTTTTGGACTTTTAATTACACTAGGTCCTTGTTGCACTTGCAATGCCTCGGATGTATGCTCAATCTTCTCCTCATTACCCAGTAATGCCCCTTCCATAACAGGGGGAAGTGCAGAAGAGAAGCTCTTGCGCTCATTATGTTGCTTAGTGGCTTCAGAAGGAAACGCCGCAGTCCCATCTTCGGATGTATTGTTCTTCTGCAATAGTGCATTGTCTCTGGAAAAGCTATTATTACCCATGTGAACGCTGAACAATGACTCCGTAGACGCGACACTCCAGTCCACTGCTGCATTTGTAGACTTGGTGTCAAAAACCGTGAGAGGAATGCGACTAGGATCATATCCTGTGAGTTGGGTGGTTTGATGTGATTGGTTCTCGGGGGATGAAGATATGTGAGAGCTATCACTAGGAGAACCACTCATCATGCTCCATCGAGGCGTGTGGGTTGGAATATCTTGACAAGATAACGATTCGGCATGGCTAGGTGAGTGCTGAGATTGTTCTAGATTGATTGTTTGATCTTCAAAACACGAAGAAGAAGAAGAAGATGATGATGATGATGACGAGGAAGAAGAAGAAGAAGAAGGTATTGTTGTGCCTTCATGAAGGTGACTCTTGGGTGGCTTGTGTAAAGAGTTCTCATTTCCATCCCCATTCTCCATTCTTATCTTCTTCCTCCTCTTGGATTTGCACAACCTGAGTGATGAAGATTGTTGCAGATCCAAGGACACTTAGCTTCCTTCTGCACATGAAGGATAAAAAACCATTCAATACTTTCTGGATTAGCATACAACAAAACCATTTTCAAATCTATAATTAATTTATTCATTTGTTTCTTCAGTCTTAACCCATATTTTAAGATTTAGAAAAACAAAGAAAATTAGGGAGTTTACAACAACCTGCCTACATCAAATCCTTTTCTTTCTTCTTCTTCTTCCTGAAAAATCAATAAGGGTCCGTTTGGTACACGGAATTTATGGAATTGGAATTGAATTGGAATTAAAATTCCATGGGATTCAATTCCATAGAATTGAATTCACCCATTCCAATTCATTTTTTGTACTACCAATTCCAAATCTACATAATTTTTGTGTTACCAAACATGAAAATTAGAATTGAAGTCCTCAATTCCAATTCCATAGTTTGAATTCTGTGTACCAAACGGGGCCTAATGTATAAAGGCTCTGTTACGAAAAAACCAGAGTATTGATTATATGATTGCTTTTTAGCATTATTCATGGCCTTAACTGCAAAATATCAAAGGATAAAAGATAGAGAACATAAGTTGATTTAGTTGGTATTCATTCATATACTAAAATCTTGAATTGATTTGAAAATAAATTAACTATTTCTAATTAAAAGGAATTGCAGCAACATTTAAGAGAAGATAAAAACAAAAGGAAATTGAACATACCTAAGGTTCAATGGGAATCGGCCCTTGAATATATATTGCCTGGACAATTTCAAATTTTGTTTAATTTTAAACTTGTCCTTGAAACAAGGGGATTTCGTTTTATGTACTCCATATATTTTCTCTCATTGTTAAGGGGAAGGCTAAGCGACCATTGCGGTTGATACTTGATACTCATTTGCCATTTGGTATCCATGTCAATAAATATTTTTAGTACCAATATGCTTATTAGCTCTCCACCAACATTAACATTTGGTCAAATTTTGTCGTGATCATCAGGTTCATGCTCATTTTTATGAAATTTAATTCTCAAAATGATTATATGTACTGGACCTTGATAAAAGCTAGAGATTCAATTATGCGTCAATGGAAAATATGTGAAAGGTCTACATTTCACATGTAGACCTTATGATCACAATAGAATAACTACTATACTTAATATTTTGTATATTTTTTGTCCATTTAAAATATGTTCAACTTTTATACTCTTCTGTCCAAAATATTTGCCACGCTTGCTTTTTCAGCAGTCGCGGAAACTTTTGTTTATTTCTACGTTTTCATTGGTTATTTGATAAAATAAAGAGTAAATTCTCAAAATAGTCCTTTGTAATAAGGGATTTTCCCAAATTAGTCCTCAATAAGTTTTAATTACTTACATGGTCCTCTATAATTAAAATTTATTCTTAAGATAGTCCTTTATAATAAGGTGTTTTCCCAAATCAGTCCTCAATAAGTTTTAATTACCTATGTGGTCCTCTATAATTGAGATTTATTCCCAAGATGGTCCTTCATAAATAATGTTACTCAAATGAGGATTAATTAAGAGTATTTTTTATTCTCTAAATTTAGAATTAATTCTTAAAATAACCATTTATAATGAAGTATTTTTCCCAAAATTGTTTTTCTAATTAAAGATGTGTATTTGATTTGAAATTTAAAAGATTTTTTTTAAGTTTTAAATAATTCATAAATTATTGATGAGTAAATTCTCAAAATGGTCCTTTGTAATAAGTAAGGTGTTTTCCCAAATCTGTCCTCAATAAGTTTTAATTACTTATGTTGTTCTCTATAATTGATATTTTTAGAGGATAAAAAATACTCTTAATTAATCTTCATTTGAGTAACATTATTTACTATACGAAAGACCATCTTGGAAATAAATCTCAATTATAGAGGACCATGTAGGTAATTAAAATTTATTAAAGACTGATTTGGGAAAACACCTTATTATAAAGAACTATTTTGGGAATAAAACTCAACTATAGAAGACCACGTAGGTAATTAAAACTTATTGAGGACTAATTTAGGAAAACCCTTTATTACAAAGGACTATTTTGGAAATTTACTCTAAAATAAAATATTTTTGACACCTCTTATTTCGAAGAACTTTTCATGTAGTTTTTTGATATGTAAATTTTATTTTTTATTTCTATACCAATATGTAAATAAAATGAATTGAAAAAACTTGATATTTTGCCTCGGGAATACAAGTGTGACAAATATTTAGGGACGGAGGGAGTATATATCAAGCCTTCTACCTTTTACTATCTGTAGTGCTCCACCACCGTTCCTTTCAAATCAACATCCACTTAGGTCACATCAGTACTGACTACACTCACCATCTCACTCACTTCACACCCGTAGTGTCTCACTCCCGCAGCGATGATTACACTTTTATTTCTATTTAATATTTACCTATTAAAATTCAAATTAAATTCTATCCTTTATAAAAGAATAAAAATTTATTTTTTATGTTTTCGGGTTTATTATTATATTCTGTTTCAGGTTTTTTTGTTTTAGCTTTTTCCATCCAAACTCTTTTTTTTTATTTTTTTGGTTTTTTTCTTTTCCGTTCAATTTTTTGTTTTTCTTTACTTATTTACTTTGTTTTATACAATGTTGCTTCATACGACACATTTTTTAAAAATAAAAAGAGAACTTTTATGTACAAATTTCTTTCCTTTACTTCATTTATAGCAAAACCAAAAAACATAAACTAGTTTACTTTAAAAGGAAAAACATAAACTAGACATAATTTCCATTTAAAAAATGTTCTTTCAATTCAAAAATGTTTGATCAAAAATATAAGTGAGACATAACGTTAAACTTATATATGTATATTGGTGTCGTTGTCTAGATCTTGTGAAAAGATTTCCAACACTAATTTGTCAAATTTTGACTCACGAATAAAAAGTTATGAACAAAATAGATGTTCCAATAGAAAAATTAAATGCAATGATTCCATAATATAAAATTAAAAAACATTTGCAGAAACCATTCCGTGGCCGTAGTCACTGATCCTCTCACACCATTGCCTCACAAGAAGATCGGGGGGGTGCCGGGGTGGTGTTCACATGCTCTCATTGCCAAGGTGGCAAAGCCACTTACGCAGTGTTTGGTTGGAGGTAGAGCGAGGTAAAGGGAGGTTATTTTTACACTTTACCTTGTTTGGAAAAATGAGGTAGGTCAGCGGAGGTGGGGGGAGGTAATCCTACCTCCTAACACCTCTCAACAGTGTTTTTCGGGTGACCGCAGATTTGGCGAACATCCTAGGTAGTATTTCCTCTTTCCGCTGCTGCCCTCCTCCTCTCTTTTTTCGGAATACTCTCTCGCCGCTGGATGAACAGTGCCGCGAAGATGAAATCGCCCATTACTCCATGAATTTGAGCTTGCTTTGCATCATTTTTGGAATCTGGGGTGCGCCTACAACTGGTGCATCCAATTCACGAGCTTATTCGCTGTTTTTGGAGAAGGAATTTGCAATTTTTGGAGAAGGAATTTGCAATTCACTCGCGATTGAATTCACTTCGATTTGGGCAATTTTGATGGATAATCTCTCCACTCCGATCTTCTTCGTGCAGCAGGTCTCCAAGCTTTTGTGCCCTTTTTTCTGTTATTTTTTTTTTGCTTATTTTCTGCTGTTTTTTATGCTTTTTAAAAGTTTTTTTGCTGTTTTTTTATCAATTACTCCGTATTTTATTCTCTTTTATTAACTATTTTATTTCTATTTTTTTTCTATTTTTTGTTGTGCGTTAAAAACAGGGGTATGTAGGTAATTTTAATATTTTACCTACCTCACATTACCTAATAAATATCCAAACACAATTTTTTAACTTATTACCTTAATTTACCTACCTTCAATTACCTCCCTTCAATTACCTTCCATTACTTACCTAATAAAACTTTACCTACCTCCAACCAAACATACCCTTAAGCTCACGAAAGATTCCACTTGAAGCATGCATTACTGAGAGTCTTAGACGGAAGTGTATGGGTGGCCATGGTGCATCGTGATGGCCATGTGGCATCACCTCACCCTCTATCGCATCGTGGAGCACCACCCCCCTCTATGATCTTGATGGAGGTGATGCCTCATCTCTTTTCAATCCTCTATTTAAATACCCCTCACCTCTGTTTAAAATTCACACTCTCTCTATGTATTTCATAAACAAATACTTCTCATCTCTCCAACTATTTCCCAAAATCATATTATGGATCTCAACCTTTGCAATTCCTTGAGTGGTAATGCCAATTTTTAAGAAATTCTCAACAAGTTTCGGGAATGGCCCGCCTGGCACCTTTCCCGGAGAACAATGTTGAGAGTGTTCCCAGAACACAACCTTCCTAAAACATTCAAAGGGAAGGCCGTGCACCTTGAAGAGTTGAAGTTACTTTTTTACTTACAATTTTCTTACTTACAATTTTATTTTATTTTTGCAATTATGGACGGCCCGAAAAATAGATGACTTTTGGGATAGGGTTACTACTCAATTCCACACCATTATAGGTTTCCATTAATAAGTGACTTCTTGAGAAGTAACCCTTTCATCTTCATCCACAAATTGTATTTTATCTGGGAAAACCTGTTGGACTTGGACTTCAACTTGGATTCTAGCAAAGTTCCATTTAGCTTTAGTGGTTGTGGCTTTATCTCTTTTAATGGGTTTTCCTATTAGACTACCCAATTTACGCAAACCAGATAAACTCCAACACTTCATTTAGAGGTTAGGGAATTGGATCCAAATTGATATATATCACTCAGTTTTGTGGTATCAATTGCCTTACCAGAGACCCAATTCTAAACTAGCATAGGTTTGTTATCGAAGAAGTAAGACTTTCGTTTACTTATCTTATTCCTCTCCTCCACAGTTTTGAGACAGACATTACAGTTTTGAAACAGCCATTGAACTGACCCTCCTTTGCAAATGATGCATCAACAATATTATAAGCTTTCCAGATCCGAGTAACAAAACCTTTAAAGACCTCTAAAGGGGGGTTAGCCCCAAGAACACAACATACTACAGCTTGGTCCCAGATCCCACAGTCTTCAATTATATCATCCTTTGTAAATTTTGCTACTCTCTGACCACCTATCTCATCTGATTGAATAAATTTGAGATCTACCTGAAAGGGTTGAGTCTGCTTGAGAACATCTGCATATGATTTCTGCTGGACACCACCTATAGAGTCCTCAATCTGATCTTCAATTTCGCCATTAGGAGCAACGACCTTCTTCTCCGAGTGATCATTCTGCGACATTATTGGTTCACAAATATGTTGTTTCTTCCCATCTGTTGTTTTGTTTACCGGCGAGTTGAGAGTGCTACCGGTTCAAGATCCATGGTTAGCTTGCGATTGATCAATCGTCGATCCGATCTTCCTAGGTTTTCCTTTCCTCTTCGCCATAGAGAGAGAAACAGAAAACTCAATGTTTAGGTATGTGATTTTATAACTTGCATGGTATGTTTGAGAGTAGAAGGAAGTCCATACTCGTTCTATATATTAACGTCTTATCCGATTGAAGTATTTTGGTATACTCCGAAATAACCTTAATTTGAAAGCGTGATTTCACGCGATTCGTTTAGTCTATCAAGTTATTTTACGTTATAATATATACCAAGTAACCTGCCATGCAGCATTGTTCCTCCATTCATATCTACCCCAATTTCCAACATCGTTGAGATTTAGTATGGGGTAATTGTAATAATATGCTCAATCCTCTCAAGAGCTTGTTCATGTAAAGTTTAACTTTTTTTAGCAAACTTAATCAAGGTAGAACTTTTTACAATTGATGAATGATTATTTCCTCCACCCCCACCCCAAGCAGTTTTATAAAACCACTTGTCCCTTGACCTAGCAAGATTATACTTACAAATGAAAGTTGGTTCAAAATTGAACTTTTTGTAGTTTTGTTGGTTGTATGATGCCCTGTTTCATCTTCGTTGATACTCTTCACAAATAGAGACCCGATCCTGTGAGGTTTCTCTACTTGGAGTTTAACTTAGCTTTTGAATTTTGATCTCTTCAATTATACCAAAAATTTATGATCTCTGCTTAAAGGGATCGATGTAAGTCCAATTTAACCCTAAAAATTTACGTAAGAGATTGAGGTTTCCAAACTATTATAAACACCATAATAAACACTATAACTTTTATTAGAGGACAAAAGAAGTATAATTTTTCTAACAAGCTTGAACCACTAGTTCGATCGCTTCCATCAGTTGTTCGACTAGTGAACCGATGTATGAACTCCTTCAATTTTTTTAAAAATAAAGTGTTTATCATAATTAAAGATGATGTGTTTTTGAGGATTTGAGTTTCTCCCTACAAGTTAAGGCTTTAATTTGGCTTTGTCTAATAAAGAATTGTGCTATGTTCAAGCAATCCCATATAATCGAACTAATAATATCAATTCCTATCAAATTTTTTTAAGCGAATACCTTGGGTCTTTATTGCTGTAGTCCAAAGAGGCAAAGACTTATCATTTTTAGAAATATTATAAAGAATTAGATGCTCTTGTTATTGAGAATCAATGAAAGGTTTACTGAAGTAGATGGGATATTGAAGGATGTTAGTAGAATGGAGCGGCTACTACTAGTTTGAATAAATTCAAAATATTAGCACCTCCAAATTCAAATATAATAACTCTGTATATTGGCACTGAATTAACACATGTGAAAAGATTTACATTTCAGATGTGGATTTTAGAATCACGGAAACACAATTCATCTCATAAAGTGTATAACTGTTGTCCCGACTAAAATCTACTAGTGTATATATATACTGTATTTAAAAAGTATATATTAAAAAAAAAAGTTCTTGTGCCACACACAAATCTCACCTCCTCCTAACAGCAAACGGGACACCGTATGAGCCCATTCTCGTTACAATCGGGGCACCGTTGGAACCCGAAACCCACTTCCCCTTCTTCCTCCTCGCAATAAATTTTGCAACTCCCCGAGCACATCTCGCAGGGAACGAACCTAATGTCCCCACAGGTCTGGCAAGGGTCGCCCCCACTGCTATTACTATTACTATTACTATCACTTTTACAGGAGTAGCCATCAACAACAACAATCCTTTCACACCCTTGTGTGGCCATCTCAAGCTGCCCGTTCTCGTGCATTCGCCTGATCTCTTCAGCCCCGCCGAGGCACTCTCTCCCCACAAACACCCTTGGCAAGCAGCCACTACTATTGTAGCCATCCCCAAGAAGCTCTTTCAACTCCTCTTTGAACCCGGAGTCCATAGACAAGTCCCTTTCGTCGCTCTTCACCCCCACCCCCTTCAAAATTGCCCTGACTTCGCAACAATCTTCGTACGTCTTTCTCACCCCCCTCAGGCTCGTGAAGTAGACCACGACTCTCTTCTTCACCGGCTTCTCATTGTTCTCCTCATGTGATGTTTCTTTATCCTTTTGAGTCAATTCTTTCCATTCATCACTTGTCTCAGATGATGTTGCTTTGGGTGTGGGCCGATCATCGCAATGGAAGGGACACAAATTAGGGGAAAGATCAAAGGAGAAGCTTCGGACAAAGGAAGGGTTAGGGCTGATGCCTTCGAGGCCCTCCATCAGTTCCCAAGCATTGATCGTTTCGGGCTCGCCCGGAGGAGTTTGGATAGGCGTCTTGGGAACAACCCTCTCGATTTTATGGTTGATCATCTCCGACCACGCTTTGGACTCCACCAATCCTAAGCCCTTGTTGTCGTCGCAGGTGCTGCGGTTGATCCGACGGATCTGATTCTGGCTCGGGGAGTCGAGCACGAGAGATCCAATGGTGGAGGATGTGAGGGCGACGGCGTGGTGGAACTCGCCGCCGTGGGTTGAGTTCCTCCGGCGGGCGGGAGAGCAGGGGGCGTTGCACTTGGCACAAAGTGTTTGCTTTGAAGTCGCACACCCCATTGTTGCCAAAACAACTTCAAATTAAACCCCAGATTCAAATTGACCTTCCTTCCTTGTACCACAGATCAAGAAAGGAGAGGAGAGCTAAGATTCCATGATTTTGTGTTAAGAGAAAATGAACATAAATAAAAATTGGGGAAATTGATGATCCAAAGATTGGTATGCCCCCATTGCAAAGATAAAGAAAGAAAGAAAGAAACATTCAGTCAGATTCCCAGGGAATGATATAACTATATTACCTCAAAGCTCAACCAGTGGATTAAAAAGTCAAATATCAAATCTTTCCTCCACACTACCATTTCCCGAAATGGGAAAAGTAATAATCAAAGCTGAATCTAAAGTATTGAGACTCATAAAGAATCTCAATTGTACACTCGATATATCCACGATAAAGTACTCCGTAGCAAATCAGTAGCTTCAACTATGGCCGGGTTGGGAAAGCCGAAAATTTCGAATCGAACCGAAACCGATCGAAACATTATTGTTTGGTTTCCGGTTTGTTTTCACTTCGGAAAAATCGAACTGAACCGAATAAACCAAACTTTTTTAGGTACTTCGGCTCTATTTATATGAGTACATATGATATGAAAAAAATCATAAAAAAATAAATGTAAATAATAGATTAGTCAATTAAATTTTTTTTAACTATTAAATATTTTAAAGCATGTTATAAACTTTTAAAAATCCTAGAAATATGAATATCAATATCTAATCCTAATACAGAATTATATTAACATTAACAACCAATACAAGTCATTTATATATTTACATAAGAAAACTTTGATGCTATAATAGAAATGAAAGTAATATACCAAAAATGCAATTTCTATGTCATTGATATTCACATACGAAAGCTCTGTGAGTATTTTGAAGCTCCTAAAAGTTTGTTGGGCACTCGACACATTTTTTATGTAAAATTGAACCGAACCGAACTCTAACATTTCGTTCGATTTTGGGTTTTATGTAAAAATCAAACTAAAAAACACGGACCCAACCCTATATATTGTTATTACTTCATGGAATTAGTGTTGTACAAATTTTTAATGCTTATAAGTTTTATTTTTAAAAACTGAAAAAACTAAAAAAAACAAAACAAATATTGCATAAAACTAATCCGAATAACCAACAATTTATATTTTTTTATGCGAAATCGAACCGAACCGCGAACTTACCTTCTGTTTTGTCTTTGGTTTTAGGTAAAAAAATTGAACCGCCAAAATCAAACTCACCCCTAGCTTCAACTCAATCAATCAAAAGTGCTTCTTTGGTGCACTTTGGGTGCATACATATTTGTGAACTTTCTGACATAAAAAAGTCTTTTTTATTTAAAAAAACATATGCTTATTTAGGTAGTAAAGAAATGTTTATTTTGCTCATATGTAGGTCCATGATAGACCTTAGGTCCACTATAGAATTTGTCATTAATCAAAAACCGATGCATTTTGACCATTAATAAATACAGAGTACGAAAGAGTATAATTTTAAATAAATATTCAGTTTGATACATCAAATTTTTATTGAAAGAACTTCCTGAATAAGAGTAAAAAACTATGAACATACAAAAATATGAATGCTAAGTATTTTAAGACCAAAATAGAAAATCACATTATGACTGTTACACGGCTACACTCACCACATTGTCACTCTGCAACTACCGCACTATCGCTGCCAAACTTCCATCTGTCGCCGCCGGCCACTAGACTATCATCGTCGATCACCGACAGTTGACTGATCGCACTGTCATATTACATTGTTACCACTTTTTCATCACACTGCTAATACAAATTCCTACATTACCTTGTCATCATACTTATATTTTTATCTCGAAAGACTTAAAACTCCTATTTTGTATTTTCATATTTTGTATTCTTATCCAATGCGATTTCTTATTCATATAGCATGTATTTAGTCAAAACTGGACCTGATCAAAGTACAGACCGACAGACCGAGCCGGGCCGAAACGCTACATTACGAAAAGTTTCTAAGCCCGAGTCCGGCCCGGCCCGTAGAGCGGCCTAACAATTGAAGCCCGAGCCCGGCTTGCATGGATACCCACGGGCTTCAGACCGGCCTGGTCCGCACGACAAAAAATTTTAAATACTACCTCCGTCCAAAAATTATCTTTCCGTTGCGCGTTATGATGCTTGACTGAAGTTATTTTCAAATCATTTTATATGAAAAATAATGTGAAATTTAAAAAATAAAAATTACATATCAAAAAACTATATCAAAATATCTACAAAACTAGAGGTGACATGACTATATAATTCCATCAAATGGGTAACGAAAATAGGCCAACAAAGTGAATAAATGTTGACCCTATGAATAATGAACGGGAACATAATTTTTAGACAGGTGAAGTAATTAAAAAATTTAAAAATAAAGTTATGTGTTAATATATTAGAAGTTTGATATAATAACTATAAAAATGAGTAAATGAAAGAACAACTAATATATAAAATGTATTTTGTTTGATATTCTTAGGAATACAAAATATTACTCCGTATTTATTAGAATATCATTATCAGTGTGTGATACGTAGTAAACAATACATAATAGAAATATGTGTGTGTTTATACTCCATCTCTCCTAGAGTATTCGTCTAGTTTTGACTTTTGGAACTGTTCATCTAAGCACTTTCACTCATCAAATTCTCTCAATGTGTAAGCTTAAATATAGTCATGTGTGATCTTGTTTGATTTGTCTTAACATATAGATTATTAATATATAATTTCTATAATTTTTTAATATACAAATTACAAGATAAAATGGATTAAAGAAATGTATTGGATGGTGTGTAAAAATGAAAATGGACAAATACTCTGGGACGGAGGGAGTAATAATTTTAAATAGTATTGTTCTTTTTATTAAAATATTGTAATTCATTCGGGTCAGACTGGGTCGTGGGCTTGAGCATAAAACTCGAGCCCGGTACTAAAATATTCGGGCCGCTATTTATAAGGCCCAAGCCCGGCCCGTGCCCTAAATTTGCAGGCAAGCTTTTGCGGGCGGGTCGAATACTCAAGCATGTGCTCGGGTCTAGTCAAAACTATATTTATCAATGCTCAACGTGGGATTTATAGCATTTTGCATCCTCAAAAGGAATTAAATAATTGCAATGCACCCTCAAATGTCAGAAATGACAAAATGCACCCTCCGTCTAATAAATAAACTTTATAACAAATAAACATCTAAAAAATTTTTATTTTACAATCAAACTAGTATTACACCCGTGCGTTGCACAGTTCATATTTACGTTATAAATTTATATTGACGTTACTATAAAAAGAAATAAATGTATCATGCTGCTATGACATTCATGGATATAAATTAGCACATTACATTAAGCAATTTTTTTAAAGTACCTATTAAAAATATTTTATTTGAATTTCCATACCTTACAGACCAAGGTTCTCATCGCGCTAGTCTGTGCATACTAAAAAGTTTGACAGATTCCTTATCCCAAACTATAAAAGAAGCACTATCCGAGCTGTCAATAACACAGACACTGATCTTGTACATATCAAACAAAATGTACATTTTTATTCAAATTTTAAATTGTCATTAATTAATTTATTAAAATCAAAAAATATATATTTTATAACCTATGCACTCCATCGGGATAATCTCTCTTGTATTTAAATCGCGAACCATCTGACACAATCTTACTGTTGCATGCCTTACAACCAAGTTAGCACCATTTAACTGTGTTTTCAATCTCAACCACATCACTAATCATCCCATAATATCTCTTCTGCAAATAATAAAAAATATATTATTAAGGAAAATAAGAAAAATTTTCCTCTTTAGTTTCATTCATATATTGTAGTTCATTGAAGTTACATACTTATATCATTTTCGATATTAAATTATTTTCGCGCATAATTAGAAATATTTATCTAGTCTTACATTATTCCATAAATAATCACACATTAATTCCTCGTTACATTTAATATTACACAAAGTATTAAAATTTTAAAAATAAATTTAAATTTTAAGTTTAATATCAACATCACATAAAAGTACATTTATATACTTTTAAAGATTTTTTTCAAATAATTTCATGGAGCTTACTTTAATTTAATTTTAATATCTTTTTCCATTTTTTGGTATTTAATTAATTATCTTACAATTTTCATAGCCTTGAGATCTCGAATGGATGTTATTGTCATATCCGTATTGCGTGGATCAGCCTTTGTTCCAGATTACGTCGATATGATGCTACACATTTGAGATAAATTATCTCCACCGCATGATAATAAACAGAAAATGTATTCAGTAATTAGGTCAAAACCATAAATAAAAAAATAGTATTAACTTACTCTGTTCTGAAGTCTTTAACTTCTCTTCATTAAGCACAACTTTACTCACATTTTAAAAGGTAGAAACATAGACTTTTTATGAAATTTAATTATTCGCAATCGTTAATCTTGAACAAATTTCGAATAAGGAATAGTGTAAAAAGAATGCTTAATAGGCATACCATTTTATCGCCTAGGTAGTATCGGTGGATTTGCCAACCCTTCATTTAGTCCCTCGATTATTTTATCAATATGATGAGCACACTACGTACAATCAAGACGGTTTCCCTTGAACAAAGATTTAATAAAATTAATAATAGTAGAAATCAATAAATAAAATAAATTTGATATCAAATATGTTAAATTTATGTGTATGTATACTTATGGTCTTCCAATACAACTTCCATCATCCTCTCAGGAACACTCTTGACCATGCGATCTTCCGCCATTGTACGACCAATAACTTTTCCAATGACATCTGTGATCAAAACATTAGGATATAAGATGTAATTTATTTAATGTATACTAACACATGAAATCTTTATATATAATTATTATTGAATTTACTAACCAATCAACAGGATGTCGTATATTAAAGGCAGTAACTGGATGTCATCGAATGCCATAAATTTATATCGAAAATTCGGAAATAAGTCAGAAGATAATTTTTGAAGTTTCGTTCTTCCAAAAAAACACTATCATATATAGAGGATGGGGATGTTGTCTTTGTGTTCTATAAGTTGCATTAAACTCTGAACTTGGTTAAAGCATAAACTTAGTTTTCTTCGAGGTCATCTTCGAAAGTCTTGATCTTCAAATCTCTTATCAGCGCATGAATCCGATTTTCCTGTAAACACATGCAAGCATTAGTTATTTATGTAATTATAATTATTTATTTACTAAATATAATGAATAGGCATCGAAATAAAGCTATAAGGAACTTTTTGTTCATGTAAAATAACATCAAGAAATTATGGCATTCGAACATGTTCAGCGGTTCGATAAACCCTTATAGCTCGAACTC